TGAACTCTGGGCCTGGGTGCTGTCCCTCAGCTCTTCAGCTCAAGGCCAGTGCTCTACCATTGAGCCACAAGGCCACTTCCGGTTTACTGGTGGTTCATTAAAGATAAGAGTCTCATGGACTTTGCTGCCCAGGCTGGCTTTGGACCGGGATTCTTAGATCTTAGCCTCCTGAATAGCTAGGATAACAGATGTGAGCCACTTGTACCCAGCTTCTGCCTGTCATTTTAGCTACTCAAGAGGCTGAGATCTGAGGATCATGATTCAAAGCCACTCCTGGCAGAGAACACTGGGAGACTCTTATCTCCAATAGTGGGAAGTGGAACTGTGGCTCAAAGTGGTAGAATGCCAGCCTTGATGCAAAAAAACTCAGGGACAACACCCAGGCTCTGAGTTCAAGCCACAAAATGACAAAAAAACAAAAAACAAAAATAAAACAAAAAATGAAACTATTTCAGACTTTGGCAGAAAAAAAATTCTGAGAAATCTCAGCACCAGAGTTAAGGATTAGAGCACATGGAATCCTCATATTCGGGAGTCAGAGACTTAAGGCTGGGAGTTCAAGGCCAGGCTGTGAGGTACATAGAGACCCTATCTCAACAAACAGTAGCAACAGGAATTCCAGGCATTAGTGGCTCATGCCTGCAATCCCAGCTACTCAGGAGGCTGAGATGTGACGATCACAGTTTGGAGCCAGCCAGGCCAAAAGTCTGTGAGACTCTTATCTCTAATTAACCACCAAAAAGCCAGAAGTTGGAAGTGTGGCTCAAGTGGTAATATTGAGCACAAAAAGGTCAGGGATAACACCAAGGCCCTGAATTCAAGACTAAGGACCAACACACACATACACACAACAAACAAACAAAAAACTAGTTTTCAGAGAATAATAGCTATGTGGCAAGATGTGGGAAAACAGACCTTGTCTTAAATTGCTGGCTGAAATGTACAAAGGCATTATGATGATGATGATGATGATGATGATGATGATGCCTGTTGCAGGGTATGAACTCAGGGTCTGGGCACTGTCCCTGAACCTCTTTGTACTCAAGGTTAGTGTTCTACCACATGAGCCATAGTACCACTTCCATATTTTGAGTGGTTAGTTGGAGATGAGTCTCATGGGGACTTTTCTGCCCTATGCTGGTTTAGAAATGTGATCATCAGATCTCAGTCTCCTGAGTAGTTAGGATTACAGGCGTGAGTCACGGGCACCAGGTTAGCCACATTATTTGACCTAGCAATTGTATATCTTGGGTTCCAAAAATATAAAAGCTGTGCAGCCAAGCACCAATGGATCATGCCTGTAATCCTAACTAACCAGGAGGCTTAGATATGAAGATCTAGGTTCCAAGCCAGCCCAGGAAAATCTGTCTGTGAGACTCCTATTTATTTATTTATTTATTTTTGGCCAGTCCTGGGCTTGAAATCAGGGCCTGGGCACTGTCTCTGAGCTTCTTCTGCTCAAGGCTAGCACTCTACCACTTGATCCACAGTGCTACTTCTGGCTTTTTCTTTTTCTTTTTTTTTTTTTGGGGGGGGAGGTCCAGTCATGGGGCCTGAACTCTGGGCCTTGGCACTGCCCCTCAGCCCTTCAGCTCAAGGCTAGTGCTCTACCACTTGAGCCACAGTACCACTTCCGGCTTTTTTCTTTTTGCTTATGTGGTGCTGAGGAATCGAACCCAGGGCGTCATGCATACAAGGCAAGCGCTCTACCACTGAGCCACCTTCCCAGCCCGGCTTTTTCTGTTTATATGTTTTTACTGAGGAATCAAAATGAGGGCTTCAAACATGCTAGGCAAAGCATTCTACCACTCTACCACCTTCTCAGCCCAAGTTTCTTATCTCTAATTAGTCAAAAGTCAGAAGTGGAGCTGTGACTCAAGTGGTGGAACACCAGCCTTGAGTGAAAAAAAAAAGTGAGTTCAAGTCCCAAACTTGCATAAAGAAAGAAAGACGTATGTACAAATGTAAAAGAAGTTTAAGTTTCTAATAGTGAAAAACTGGAAGCACTGCCGGGCGCCCATGACTCAGGCGTGTAATCCTAGTTACTCCCAAGGCTGAGATCTGGGGATCCAGTGTGAAGCCTGCCCAGGCAGAAAATCTGTGAGACTCTTATTTCCAATGAGCCATGAAAAAGCCAGAAGTGGAGGTGTGACTCAAGTGGTAGAGACTCAAATGGTAGAGTTCAAGCCCAAGGGCTGGCACAAAAAAAATATATGTATACCCAGTTGCTGGTGGCTCACACCTGTAATCCTAGCTACTCAGGAGGCTGAGATCTGAGGATCGTGGTTCAAAGCCAGCCCGGGCAGGAAAGTCTGTGAGACTCTTATCTCCAATAAACCACCAGGAAACCAGAAGTGGCGTTGTAGCTCAAGTGGTAGAGTGCTTGCCTTGAGCTGAAGAGTGCAGGGACAGTGCCCAGAGTTCAAGCCCCACAACCTACCAAAAAAAAAGGGGGGAGGGAGGGGATGGGAAGGTGGCTCAGTGGTAGAGCGGGGTTCAATTCCTCAGCACCACATAAGCAGAAAAAGCCAGAAGTGGTGCTGTGGCTCACGTGGTAGAGCGCTAGCCTTGAGCTGAAAAACTGAGGGACAGCGCCCAGGCCCAGAGTTCAGACCCCACGACTTACAAAAAGAAAAGAAAACAAAAAAAACCTCAGAAGGGGTGTGTGGCTCAAGCAGTGTGTGGCTCAAGATGGCCAGCTTTGAGCTGAACAGTAAGCCCTGAATTTCAACTCTCTAGTGCATGTACAACAGAGGAGGATCTGTGGAAAAATTGGAATGAAACCAAAATAGAATTTGGTATCTGGAATTAGTACGGTGCAAAGCTAGTCCAAAGGAAGATGGACCAGTCCAAAGGAAGGCAGACCAGGACTGTTTGTGGAATTGTCACCCGATGCAGGTGCAGGTTTGTGAAGTTTCCCTTTAAAAGTAGGGATTCTACACTTTGACTTGGATTAAAAGTAGGGATTTCTACACTTTGACTTGGATTGCAGAATAAGAATTTCTGGAGAAGTCAGGACAGTAAGAAAACTTGGATGAGCGTTATTAAGCAAGCAAGTGGACAATAAGCAGACAAGCAGAAAGGCTCTCAGTGCTCTCTGTGAGGGAGGGGGAGAGAGAGAGAAAGAGAGGGAAAGAGAAAGGGAGGAAAAGAGAAAGAAACACACACACACACACACACACACACACACACACACACACACAGCTCTTAGGCTGTTAGGATGTTTTTACGGTGAAGGCAGGGGGCCTGGCTTTAAAGTTATGCAAAGATAGGTGTTTTATCTTTGCTCTCATCACTCCTGGTGTTACCTTCTGAGTTTCTGAATGTTTTGGGCATTCTCTCCAGGTAAGAATGCATCCTGCCATTAAAAAACAAAAACAAAACAAAACACCAGACGATTAGTGGCTGGGAAGGTGGCTCAGTGGTAGAGTTCTTGCCTTGCATGCTTGAGGCCCTGGGTTTGATTGCTCCCCACCACACAAGCAGAAAAAGCCGGAAGTAGTGCTGTGCCTCAAGTGGTACAGTGCTCAGGACCAACCACAAGCAAACAAAAATCAGATGTTTACATTGTGGCTCAAGTGGTAGAGTGCAAACCTTGAGCAAAAGAAACTCAGGGACAGTGCCCAGGCCCTGAGTTCAATCCCCAGGACTGGCAAAAAAAAAAAAAAAAAAAGCCACAAAAAACAGATGTTTATCTGAGATAAGGAAGGCTCCTGTTTGCAATTTGGGTAGGAAGTTGCTTAAGTTTTGGGGAACCATTTCTCTCAGGAAGGCATACACCCTGCCAGACAAATGTTAATTCTTGGGGTGAGAAATGCATCTCTCAGGAAGGCCTGCATACTGTTGTTTGTCTTTGAAGTGCTCTGGTGTTTCTAGATACCATGTTTCCAAGTTGCCTGCACCAGAACTCATTTTCCTCAATTTATCCGGCCTCATTTTATGAATCTATCTTTGTTGTAAGCTTACCATACCTCGTCTGGCCTGCTTCAGAATGACTTTGACTATGGGGGATTCAATTCTAAGTTGGAGTCCACTCACTCCATGCTAAGCGCTGCAGGTAACTCATACAGCAAACAGAGGAGTGGTGCTGACAAACTACAGCGCACCAAACCTAGTGTTTTGTTTTGGCGCCATTACTGGGACTTGAACTCAGGGCCCGGGCGCTGTCCCTTAGCTTTGTTGCTCAAGACTTAGCACTCGGTTATTTGAGCCACAGCTCGACTTCTGGCTTTCTGCTGGCTCAATGGAGATAAGGGGGGGGTCTCATAGACTTTTCGTGCCCAGGCTGGCTCCGAACCCCGATCCTCGGGTCTCAGACCCCCGAATAGCTAGGATTGCAGGCCTGAGCCTGTCTGCCCCCACCAAGGGGTCTTGCACAGAGGGGGTCACCGTGAAGAAATCTGCGCAGGCCATCTGTGCATCTTCGATTGTAGCAAACTGGGGCGGACCACCGGGGCCATCCCCCCCCCCCCCCCCCGCCCTCCCGGGCCGGGGACTCCCACCCTCCGCGCTGGGAGGCCCCGCCAGGCCCGCGCTCCGGGCCCCGGCCGTCTCCTGGGCGCCCGCCACACCTGGCTGTGGGGAGCTTATTTAATACCAGGGACTCTGAATCCGGGCCTTTCCCATCCTAAGGCTCCATCCCTTCACCCTCCCCTCGGGTCCCGCAAACGCCCTCTTCCAGACTAATAACGCGTGCAGTCCAACCCGAGCTTTCCTACGCCGCGGGGGTGGGGTGGGCCTAGGGGAGCTTCGGGGTGGGGGCGGCGGGCCGGCCCCCCTCCCACGTCCGGCGGCGCCCGTCGGGACTACAAGTCCCGGCGTGCCCCGGGGTGGGCGCGTACGCATGCGCGGGGGCCGGGCGGGCGGCCGTTGGCTGGCGCAGCGTGGCGAGCGGGTCGCGGCGCTGTGAGGTCGGCGGGCGCTGGCAAATCGGGCCGGGGATGTAGAGCCGGCGACGGCTGACGGCGCGTTTGACGCGAGTTTGGGTGGGGTGGAGAGTGGGGGGCGGTAGTCGGGGGTGGTGGGAGAAGGCGGCGGCGGCGGCGGCGCAGGCGGCGGCGAATCACTTATAAATGGCGCCCAAGCAGGACCCGAAGCCTAAGTTCCAGGAGGGTGAGTGCCGCGCCGCGGGGCCTCGCGGCGGGGCGCGCGCGCGGGGCGGGGGGCGCGGGCTGCACCCCGAGGGGGCGGCCGGCCCGGCCCGGGCTTTGTGTCGGGGAGGCGCATTGCGGAGGCCGAGGCTGCCCGGGGAAGAGGCCGCGAACACAATGCAGAGAGACGCGCCGGGGCCGGGGCGGGGGCCCGCGGACGGGGCGGGGGCCGGGGCGGGGGCCGGGGGGCCGCGGACGGGGCCGGGGCGGGGGCCGGGGGGCCGCGGACGGGGCCGGGGCGGGGGCCGGGGGGCCGCGGACGGGGCCGGGGGGCCGCGGACGGGGCGGGGGCCGGGGGGCCGCGGACGGGGCCGGGGCGGGGGCCGGGGGGGCCGCGGACGGGGCGGGGGCCGGGGGCCCGCGGACGGGGCCGGGGCCGGGGCCGGGGCCGGGGCGGGGGCCGGGGGGCCGCGGACGGGGCGGGGGCCGGGGGCCGGGGGGCCGCGGACGGGGCGGGGGAGGGTGCGGACGGGGCCGGGTGGCCGCGGACGGGGGCCGGGGGGCCGCGGACGGGGCGGGGGGGGGGTGCGGACGGGCCCGGGGGGCCGCGGACGGGGCCGGGGCCGGGGGGGCCGCGGACGGGGGCCGGGGGGCCGCGGACGGGGCCGGGGGGCCGGGGCCGGGGGACCGCGGACGGGGCCGGGGCGGGGGCCGGGGGTCCGGGGTCGAGGCCGGGGGGCGCGGACGGGGCCGCGGACCGGGGCCGGGGCGGGGGTCGGGGGGCCGCGGACGGGGCCGGGGCAGGGGCCGGGGATCCGGGGTCGAGGCCGGGGGATGGGGCCGGGGTCGGGGCGCCGGGGCCGGGGGCGGCGGGGAGGGGCCCCGGAGGACGTGGCGCGGGCGTCCCGGAAGCCGCGCGCGGGGCGCGGGGCGCCGCCTCGGGCATGGGGGTGGGGTGGGGTGGGGAATGGGCCGGGAGCCTCGGGGCGGGAGAAAAACTGCGTTTGTAAAATGGCGATGGTAAGATGGCCGCGCCAACATGGCCGCCAGCGTCCGAGCCCCCGAGTTGCCCGCGCAACCCCCACCGGGGCCGCCGCGGCGCCTGCCCGCCCCCCCCCCCGTTCGCCCCCCTCCCCCCCGCTCGCCCCCCCTCCCCCGTCCTCCCCACCTTCCCCTGGCGCCGCGTCCGCGCGAGCGCTGCGCCTGCGCAGAGGCGGGTGGGTGGGGCCGACGCGGAGCCGGGTGGGAGGGATGCGCGGGGGTTGCTTGTATTTTTGTTTGGTGCGGCCCTGAGGCCGCGTCCGGCTCTGCGTGGCGGCAGCCACCGCGTCCGGATTCTTCGGTCATGGCCGCGCGCACGCGCGCTCCTAAAGAGCCAGTAAAAAAGCCAGAAACCCCAACCACTTGAAAGGTTCTCTAACGGCTTTTGTGTATTCAAGTCTAGGGCCTCGGGCGCCTGTTATTTTTTTTTTTGTTTTGGTCGGTCCTGGGGCTTGAACTCGGCCTGGGGCTCTGTCCGAGAGGTGGTGGTGGTGGTGGTTACGTGCTCAAGGCTTTACCACTTTGAGCCACAGCTCCACTTCTGGTTTTCTGGAAGTCTCACGAACTTTACTGCCCGGGCTGGCTTTGAACCGTGATCCTCAGATCTCAGCCTTCTGAGTGGCTAGGACGGCGTGAGCCACCAGTGCCCAGCTTTTTTTTTTTTTTTTAAATCTATGGGGAAATTGCAATGATATTTGATTAATAGTGCCCTGAAAGTTATTTTTTTTTATTGGCTTTTGGGTCGACCAGAGTGTTTTGGCTGATGTTAGGACTAAGATGGAAATAAAATAGCCAAAGAGGATGTTCCCAAGGGAACATCTAACTGGGCACCGGTGGCTCACAAGACTAAGATCTGAGGATCACTGTTCAAAGACAGCTTAGGCAGAAAAGCCGGTGAACCTTTATCCTTAAACCAGCCAGAAGCCAGAAGTGGAGGTGTGGTGAAGCCTTGATTGGGAAAAAGCTACTAAGAGCTTGATACCTTGAGTTCAAGCCCAGGTGTATATACATGCACACATTCATGCATGCACACAGCTAGTAGATGTTATTCTGGGAGATTCTCACTAATTAGAGGTTCTGGATGAGCTATAGAACAAGTTTGTCACTTATTTATTTTTTGTCAGTCCTGGGGCTTGAACTCAGGGCCTGGGCACTGAGCTTCTTTTGCTCAAGGCTAGCAGGCCTCCACTTGAGCCACAGGGCCACTTCCAGCTTTTTCTGTGTATGTGGTACTGAGGAATCTAACCCAAGGCTTCATGCATGCACTCTACCACTAAGCCACATTCTCAGCCCTGGAACAAGTTTTATATATAACAAGTTTGAAAAACTTTCAGAAACTGGGGAAAAGCAAAGGAAGAAGTGACTTTGTCCTGTAAATATTTACTCATGCTGGGTGCTGGTGGCTCACGCCTGTAATCCTAGGTACTCAGGAGGCTGAGATCTGAGGATCCAGGTTCATGCCAGCAGGGCAAGAAAAGGGCAGGAGACTCTTACCTCCAATAAATCACTCAGAAAACCAGAAGTGGTGTTGTGGCTCAAGTGGTAGAGTGCTACCCTTGAGCTGAAGAGCTGAGAGACAGTGCCCAGGCCCAGAGTTGAAGCCCCAGAACTGACCAAAAAAAAAAAAAAAATTGCTTATTACCTGAATTAAAAAATGGTAATCTCTCTGTACATCATCTAAAAACAACAAAACTTAAAAAACACTAAAACAGAGTGAAAAACACTAAAACAGAGTGCTCAGGCCTGTAATCCTAGCTACTCAGAAAGCTGAGATCTGAGGATCACAGTTCAAAGCCATACCAGGCAGAAAAACCCTGTGAGACTGCTATCTCCAATTAACCACTCAAAAATGGAAAGTGGAGCTGTCACTCAGTGGTAGAGTGCTTGAGCAAAAAGAAGCTCAGGGCCCAGGGCCCAGGTCCTGAGTTCAAGGCCCATGACCAACCAAAAAAACTCAGGAAAAAAGTAAATTATTCCAAAGATTATTTATCAGAATTGGGTATCCTTAGGCTGGGAAGGTGGCTCAGTGGTAGAGTGCTTGCCTTGCATGCCTGAGGCCCTGGGTTCGATTCCTCAGCACCACATAAGCAAAAAGAAAAAAGCTGGAAGTGGCGCTGTGGCTCAAGTGGTAGAGCGCTAGCCTTGAGCTGAAGAGCTGAGGGACAGCGCCCAGGCCCAGAGTTCAGGCCCCACGACCTGACCCAAAAATAAACAATTGGGTATCCTGTAAGGGATAAACAGTTGACACTGTAGTTATATGCATTTGATTCTTCTTCAGCTTTTATGATGTTTATCCAATATGTCTGAGAGCCGGTCTCAATCTCTGGTTTGGTTTGTACTTTCCAGATACTTCCTTCTCTGTGATCCTCCCAAGTCCCTTATTATAAGTTTGTTAGTACTCAGCACTTTGGGGCACAGAAAGACCTGATAGATATGTTGGGAAATAGATGTTCAGATTTCCCATACAATTATCAGAATCAAGGAATATCTTTTTTTTTGGTCAGTTGAGGGGCTTGAACTCGGCCTGGGCACTGTCCCTCAGCTCTTCAGCTCAAGGTGAGCGCTCTAGCACTTGAGCCACAGTGCCACTTCCGGTTTTCTAGTGATTTTTTTATTGGAGAGAAGAGTCTCATGGACTTTCCTGCTCACACTGGCTTTGAACTGTGATCCTCAGATCTCACCCTTCTGAGTAGCTAGGATTACAGGCATGAGCCACTGGTGCCCGGCTAAGGACTATCTTTTGAGTTATGCTTAACAACTAAAATACTGAAGCGTATTTATTGTTGCATCGTTTCTTCAGAATTACACTTGTAGGTAATTTGAGTTTTATAGTCCAAAATAGCTGGCCCTTTTGGAATCTTTAGTTGCATTGGGTTGTGTTGAAACAAAGTGGGCTGGAGATAAAGTGTGAGGTTAAGCCGGGAGCTGGCCACTCACGCCTGTAATCCTAGCTATTCAGGAGGCTGAGATCTGAGGATCGCCCTTCAAAGCCAGCCCAGGCAGGAAAGTCCGTGAGACTCCTATCTCCAGTAAGCCACCAGAAAACCAGAAGTGGTGCTGTAGCTCAAGTGGTAGAGCGCTAGCCTTGAGCTGAAGAGCTGAGGGACAGCGCCCAGGCCCAGAGTTCAAGCACCAGGATCCACACACAAAAAAACTGTGAGGTGTTTAGGTTCTATCAAGAATTGCCTGCCTGCTTCTTAGATGAACAAACAGAAATGGCTTTTAAGTTTCACTGTAGTCCTTGAGGTATCATTTGGCTTTTCAAGTCTTAAGGGAAGACTGAAGGTAAGGTGTAGCTCCCAAAGACCTAGGGCTTTGTGTCTGTTTTTACTAAAAGTATGAATGAACATGGAGTAGTGTAAAAAAAATCCATCTCGGTGATTCATAGTGAGAAAATGGCATTGGAACATGTGAGAAAAGCATTTCTAGTAATCTGGCTAGAACAATCCAAGCCAGCTAACCTTACTTGATAGGTCACTGAAAGAACCTAGTGGGGTATGTGGAAGCTCATTCTAAGGTGCTTCTCTGTGTAGCCTTAACCATTTTAAGTAATTTTGCTTTCAACTGTCTGTCTTAGGTTGGGATCACACTAATCCATCGTTTTTTTATTTTGCAGGTGAGCGAGTGCTGTGCTTTCATGGGCCTCTTCTTTATGAAGCAAAGGTACGAAGATGGTTTTTTTCAAGAAAGTTGGCCAAAATTACTAGCCAGATTTGATCTTTTTTGAGGTTGTGTGCTGGTATTTGGGCTTTGAACTTGGAGCCTTGGAGCTCTTGACTCACCTTGCTTTCTTGCTCAGAGCTTGGTGCTTTACCACTTGACCCATGCCTCCATCAGGCTTATTTGCTGGTTAATTGGAGACAGTCTTCAGGACTTTTCTGCCCATGTTGGTTTCAAACTGAATTCCTCCAGGTATTAGCTTCTGAGCTAGGGTTAAAGATGTGAACCTCCAGTGCCCAGCAGCATATTTTTTTTTTTTTTTTTTGGGTCCGGTCATGGGGCCTGAACTCTGGGCCTGGGCGCTGTCCCTCAGCTCTTCAGCTCAAGGCTAGCGCTCTACCACTTGAGCCATAGCGCCACCTCTGGCTTTTTTCTTTCTTTGCTTATGTGGTGCTGAGGAATCAAACCCAGGGCCTCAGGCATGCAAGGCAAGCGCTCTACCACTGAGCCACCTTCCCAGCCCGCATAATTTTTTTTAAATCAGTCGTGGGGCTTGAACTCTGGGCCTGGGCGCTGTCCCTGAGTTCTTCAGCTCAAGGCTAGCGAGCGCTCTATCACTTGAGCCACAGCTCCACTTTGGTTTTCTGGTGGTTCATGGGAGATAAGAGTCTCATGGACTTTCCTTGCCTGGGCTGGCTTTGAACCACGATCCTCAGATCTCAGCCTCCTGAGTAGCTTGGATTACAGGTGTGAGCCACTGGTGCTGGGCTAGCATAATTGTTTTAATAAGGTCAGTTTTGGTTAACCACCTTCACAAATCATGTTTGACTTAGTGTTTTTGTTTTTTAATTTTTTCGCCAGTCTTGGGGTTTGAACTCAGGGCCTGGGCACTGTCCCTGAGCTTCTTTTGCTCAAGGCGAGCTGACTCTACCACTTGAGCCACAGCACCATTAATGTCTTTTTCTATGTATGTGGTACTGAGGAATGAACCCAGGGTTTCATGCTTGCTAGGCAAGCACTCTACCACTAAGCCACATTCCTAGCCCTTAACATGTGTTTTAAAAGTGTTAAATGATGAGTCTGTTTGATCATATGTTCTTCATTGTTTCATGAATTTTGACAGATTATTTTTTCCTTGGCAGCGAAGCATCACTGAGGGATAATGTTTGAAATGACTATGAAAAGAACTTGTGGTTCTTTTGGTTTTTCTCTCCTGAACACCTTTAAGTTTTAAAAATCAAATAGTCATGACTTTCCATCATTACTTTGCTACAATTGTCTGCTTTTAGGAATTCAGGTGACCTTCTGAAACAAATCAGTGTATTGAAGCTGATCAGATTAAAAAAAAATAATTGTAGTTCTTGGCTTGCGGTTGAACAAGTGGTGGAGCATTCGCATAATCCCAGCACAAAGAAGGTTTGTGAGTTCAAGGCCAGCCTGGGCCACATAGGGAGATGCAGTCTGCAATACAGAAGAGTAGGGGGAGGAGAAGACAGGAAGTGGGAACAGTATCTCTGCTGCTTAGGAAGCAGAGGCAGATAGGCAGGACCATAGTTTGAGGTCATAGTGGGCAGAGACAGGTCTCCACCCCTCCATGTCAATATCAAGCCTGGCACACCTGTACTCCCTGCTACACAGTCATATAGGTAAGCAGGATCATGAAAATGGAAACCCTATGTGAAGAGCAAGCTAAAGCAAGAAATGATGTGGTGTGGATCAGATGGTAGAGCCTGTGTGCTATCAAGCTTGAATCCCCAAGTTCAAAACCCATTCTGCTCAATAAATAAAACTTTGTATGAAGCTTATCACTGTTTTTAAATTTCGTTGTTTTTATTTTGTCCACCAAAAAGTTAATAGTAGAGTGGCTTTTTCTAAGTTGAGTTTTTTTTTTATTTCAGTGTGTGAAGGTTGCCATAAAGGACAAGCAAGTGAAGTACTTTATACATTACAGTGGTTGGAATAAAAAGTGAGTATTAGATCTTTAAAAAAACGAATTCTTGCGCAGTTATAATAACACTGAAGCAATGGTGAGCTATTTCTAGTAGTCAGCATTTTTATTTTATCTCACTAGAATCTTCCTGTAGGAGTATTTCCTGTGTTCTTGTGTATGTTAACTTCACCTATCCTGGTTGAATGATGTGTGGCAGGCCAGCACAATCTGAAGATTTTGGTGCATTTTAGGATAGCCTGAGGTTTTGGTCTTAACACATCTAGTTGACTAATGTGTTATTTTAAGCAGTTATACTGAAAACTAGTTGGATTTCTTCCGAGGTAAAGGATAAAAATTGACTTGGAAATGATAGAGTTTGCCAACTCACATAGTTTGGGAACAAAATGTTCATAGAAAGTGGTTTCTTGTGGCTTTCAGTATATGGTTTAGCCACGCATAGCATTCAACAAAACAATATAGTTGAACTTTACAACTTGGCGGGGGCGAGGTGGGGATTCGGGGGAGGGAAGGGATGGTAGGGGAAAAACAAAGGAGGAGATAGCAATGCTGGATAGGAAATGTACTCATTACCTTCCTCATGTAATTGTAACCCCTTTGCACACTAATTTTACAATAAAAAACAAAATACAGTTTACTGCTTAGCTAGCAGAGCCCTTAGTGATCCTCTTCTCCATGGAAACTGCAAAGAACCACATCTAATTAGCTCAGTCTTTTTTTTTTTTTTTTTTGGTTTAAAGTTTTTACTAGGAGGGCTTTTAAAGTAGTTTGATTAATGCTTTGTCCTTTAAACATAACATTTCCAGTGACTCTTCTTACAAGTTGTTTTCTCTAAATGCTTTGTCACATGACCCATTCTCTGGTACCTGGGTGGTGCCTTGTGATTTGATGAGTTTATTCCAGTGTGTGGAGGGAAGGTTTTGTTGTGTTTTTTTTTGTTGTTTTTTTTTGGTCAGTTGTGGAGCTTGAACTCTGGGTATGAGCTCTGTCTCTGAGCTCTTCAGCTCAAGGCTAGCACCCTGCCACTTGAGCCATAATGCCCTGTCCTGTTTTCTGGTGATTTATTGGAGATAAAGAGTCTCATAGACTTTCTCGGTCTGGCTTTGAATCATGATCCTTAGATCTCAGCCTCCTGAGTAGCTAGGATTACATGTGTGAGCCACCAGCACCCAGCTGGAGGAAAGGCTTTATGTTCACTGGCCCTGAGAATTCATCTTGTTTTATATGATTCCTTCTTCTGGTAACAACCACTTGTTTTTATTTATTTTTGTTGGTCATGAGCCTGAACTCTGAGCCTGGGTGCTGTCCCTCAGCTCTTCAGTTTAAGGCTAGCGCTCTACCACTAGAGCCACAGCACCACTTCAGGCTTATTTTGCTTATGTGGTGCTGAGGAATTGAACCTGGGGCCTCATGCATGCAAGACAAGCACTCTAGCACTGCCTTCCCAGCTCCCCACTTATTTCTTCGATAGGAAATTGGTTAATGTTTCTTCAATTAGAATAATTGTAGAAAGCTGGGAATCTCAGTGTATAAAAACACATTCTGAAAACTTGGATTTTTTTCTTAAGCAGTAACTGAAGATGATCCCAATCTTGTATTTTAAATGTTGAGAATTTGGGAAAATAGTGAAGAGAACTATCTTCTGGGGTTTCAGAAGTTAAAACTGTGATCTGAAATAAATTCTTATATCTAGGAAACAGGAAAATTTACCTTGTGGCTTTTAAGCATCTCAGAGCTTTCTCTTCAAATAAATGAAATGTCAGGCTGATTTTTTTTTTTGTTGTTGTTAGACTGTATTATTTTTATTTAAAAAATTTTTATTGTAGGTGCTGGGAAGATGGGTTCGATTCCTTAGCACCACATAAGCAGAAAAAGCTGGAAGTGGTGCTGTGGCTCAAGTGGTAGAGTGCTTGCCTTGAGCTAAATTGCTGATGGACAGTGTCCAGGCCCAGAGTTCAGGCCCCATGACCCCCCCCCCCCCAAAAAAAATATATTGTAAAGGTGATGTACAGAAGTGGTAGTTACATAAGTCAGGTATTGAGTACATTCTTGTTGAACAGTGTCACCTCTTCCCTCCTCAGTTTTTTTCTCTCCTGATCCCCCTCTCCCACAGACAGATACTTTTGCTCATTGGCTAGTGTTCTACCAACTGAGCCACATCTCTGATCCCTAGGCCTTTGTTTTTTGGTCGGTCATGAGGCTTGAACTCTGGGCCTGGGTGCTGTCCCTCAGCTCTTTAGCTCAAGGCTAGTAGTGCTTTACCACTTGAGCCACAGTGCCACTTCTGGATTTCTGGTGGTTTATTGGAGATAAGAGTCTAAAGGACTTCTTTGCTCAAGCTGGCTTTGAGGATCATGATCCTCAGATCTCAGCCTCCTTAGCTAGGATTATAGGCATGAGCCACCAGCTCTTGGTTTTTCTAGTCTATTTTACATGTTGATTTTCTGTTGACACCAGATAATTGAGAGTGCTATAATGCAAACCTCTTATTTCCTATAGGAAACAGTCTTGTATGCATATTGTTAGTAGAGGAAATTTGAATCTACAAACAGCAGACTGTAGAGTAGGCCTGCTCTGCTCCATCTCCTGCATAACTTTAAAGGTGTGTTAGTCTTTCTTTTGTACAACTACTTAAAAACATAGATTTTTCTCTTAGCTGGATGCCAGCGGCTCACCCCTGTGATCCTAGCTACTTAAAGGCGGCTGAGATCTGAGGATTGTAGTTCGAAGCCAGCCTGGGCAGGAAAGTCAATGAGACTCTTTACTTCCAATTAACTATGAAAAAGCTGGAAAGGGACCTGTGGCTTAAGTGGTGAAACACTGACCTTGAAAAACAAAAAAACAAAACTTAGGGACAGTGCCCAGGTCCTGAATCCAAGCCCTAGGACTGGCACAGGACATTTTTTTTTGGTCTGGTCGTGGGGCCTGAACTCTAGGCCTGGGCGCTGTCCCTCAGCTCTTCAGCTCAAGGCTAGCGCTCTACCACTTGAGCCACAGTGCCATTTCCGGCTTTTTTCTTTTTGCTTATGTGGTGCTGAGGAATCGAACCCAGGGCCTTGGGCATGCAAGGCAAGCACTCTACCACTGAGACACCTTCTCAGCCCAGGAAAATTTTCTTTTAATCAAAAAAAAAAAGTTGTTTTAGAAATTTCATTTTAATAACTCTGCATACAATTATTTAGTAGGTAGTTTGTATAAAGTTAAACGTACAACTCAAAGACTATTTTAAGACTGGTTTTTGTACCTTACTAGAAATTGCAAAAATACCATATATAATATAAGACTTCATTATTTCAAATACTGTTGATTGCTTTGGTGTGTTGTAGTCTGGTAAATGAGAGTTTGGCATAGTTTTTCTACTTGGGGAAATGGTAGGTGATAGTAATACACATCAGCAGTTTCTGTGGTGGATTGGTTTGTAAATGTATAATTTTGCAAAGAGCCATTTTAATCTTCGAGATAAACTTTGAAAGAAACCTTTACATTTATTTTGGAAGTGGGTGGGCAGGGTTCTTCAGATGTATAGCAAGTGTGTTGTATTCTGTGCTTGACACTGTTTCCATAGATTGTGACTGGGAAGGACAAGCTAACTGGGAAATTCTGACATCCGTATATGCTTGATCTATATGCTGGTTTAGCTGTCTGCTGGTATTCTAGCAGAGAGAACTTCAGAGCAAACAATGTTGTCCATTTATTTCACTTTGACTCAGAAGGGATTTCAACTCTGCACTTAAAGGAAACTTAGAGCCCGTTGGATTTATGTGAAGATGCTTGTTTAGATGAATTTTGTATCTTGGGGGGAAGGGATTATAAGGTTGTAAAATATAGTGTCCCGATAATTGTCGTTAGCTCCCTTCATATAGAGTATTAAAATTGAGAGAAAGATCTTCATTTTGGAAAAAAATTCGGACATCAACATTCCAGTTTCTCAGATTGGTATTTTCTTAAAACTTGAGTTTACTGTTTCCAAAACTAGTGTATTTCTAGATTTTCAGAAACCTTACTGAAGTAGGTTGAACCAGACATTCAGATAATTCCATTTGTAAGTAAATCTTAGAGCTTAAGCTAAATTCTGGAGCTAGTTACTGAGATCACTTTGTACTATGCTGTCTATATCAGAAGTGCTGTGAGGCCCAGGCGCTCTGAAAAAACTTTGAAGACACGTGAGGATATTGTAGCCCCTTTTCCAGTTCCTGAAGGAGCTCCCTCAGTGCACCATCCCCTCCTGACCTCTAGGTAAATGCATGTTTAAAGTTTTCTCTAGGAAATCATGTTGAAGAATGCTTTCTATTTATTTTTCCTTCTGGCTACAGTCTATAAGAGGTCAGAGGTGAGAAATTAAAAAACACTGCCTTGAGCGTTTACCTGATTGTGCACTAATGGAGCTCCATCAGCGGGAGGAAAGACAGCCCAAAGAGTGTTGAACACTCCAAAAAATGTCTTGTTTTATATTGTTTTTTCTGGAAAATAAAACCACACCAGCATTGGAAATGGAAGGAATTTTACATAAAAGTGCCAGAATGCCTTACTAAGATTTTAATAATAGATTCCAAAACCTTTACAGTGTTCAGAAAGCCTTCTTCTAGTCAACCTGGGAAGTTAGTGTATTCGTTTGTGAGTGAACCTATGTAAGGGATGGTGTGGTTTGGTAAGCCATCACTCTTCCATGCCCCAACAGCTCAGTTGACTGGATGGTGAGTATTGTAGTGTTTTAAATGTGTTCCTCTTAACACCTTGAGAAGAGAATGTGTCACAAGTGTCTTGTGCATATTTCTGTTCACAGCGTGCTTTAAAGTAGGTACTGTTGTTACTTTGGTCATAGTTTTGAACTTAGGGCCTGGGCACTGTCCCTGAAGTTTTTTGCTCAAGGCCAGCACTCTACCACTTTGAACTATAGCTCCTCTTCCTGTTTTGTGGTGGTTAATTGGGATAAGAGTTTTTTTTTATTTTTTTTATTTATTTTTTTTTTTTTATTGTAAAGCTACTATACAGAGGGTCACAGTTACATGAGTGAGGTTATGAGTACACTTCCTCTTGAACATTGTTACCCCCTCCATTGTTTTCCCCCTACCATCCCCTCCCTCCCTCCCTTCCCCGAGGTTCTTTTTTTTTTTTTTTTTTTTTTGATTGTGATTAAATGATTACATAATTTCAAAGTCACAAGTTCATTCTAACTTCCCTGGAGCAAATTGTCTACCACAGTCTGTAATATATAACAGTGTTCACATGTTATATACCATATTTGTGATCAGCAGCATGAGGATATTTAGTAGTGGTTCAACCAGATGAGCGGGAGTTCTTTGTTTCTTAAGTCCTGTTAGTTTTGTCGTATCACTAACCTTTTGGATTTAGCATCCACTTATGAGGGAGACCATGTACCGTTTGTCTCTTCGTTCTTGGCTTACCTCGCTCAACATGATTCCTTCTAGCTCCATCCATTTCCCTGCAAATGCCATTATTTTGTCATTTCTAATGGCTGCATAATATTCCATTGTGTATAGATACCACAATTTTTGGATCCATTCATCTGTGGTGGGGCACCTAGGTTGTTTCCATATCCTAGCTATTGCGAACAGTGCTGCAATAAACATGGAGGTGCACGTGTCCTTGTATATTGGTTCCTGTTGTTCAGGGTAGATGCCTAGAAGTGGTATGACTGGGTCGTAAGGGAGGTCAATCTTTAGCTTTCTAAGGACCCTCCAGACTGCTTTCCAAAGTGGTTGTATAAGTGTACATTCCCACCAGCAGTGTAATAGGGTTCCTCTTTCTCCACATCCCCTCCAGCATTTGTCGTTGGCTGATTTGTGGATGTGGGACATTCTGACTGGGGTAAGGTGGTATCTCAGGGTTGTCTTTATTTGCATTTCCTTCACCACCAGGGATGATGAACATTTCCTCATGTGTTTCTTTGCCATTTTTATTTCTTCATTTGAGAAGTCCCTCTTTAGTTCCCTTGCCCATTTAGTAATTGGTTTGTTAGGTTTGGGAGGGATTAGTTTCTTGAGTTCCCTGTATATACAGGATGTTAACCCCTTGTCTGATATATTGCTGGTAAATATTTTTTCCCAATTAGTTGGTTGTCTTTCTAGCTTAGTTGCGATAGATTTAGCTGTGCAGAAGCTTTTTATTTTAAGGTAGTCCCATTTGTCGAGTCTCTCTCCAACTTGTTGTGACCCTGGGACTCTGTTCAGGAAGTTCCTTCCTGTGCCTATTAGTTCAAGTGTCTCTCCTACTCTGTCCTGCAGTAGTTTCAGAGATTCAGGTTTAATGTTAAGGTCTTTAATCCATTTTGAGTTGATGTTGGTGCATGGTGATAGGCTGGGGTCCACTTTTAGTTTTCTGCATGTGGCTGCCCAGTTTTCCCAGCACCAGCGGTTGAAGAGGCTGTGTTTCTTCCATTGTATGTCTTTGGCTCCTTTGTCGAATATCAGCTGGCTGTAGGCCTGTGGATTTATATCTGGATCTTCTATTCTGTTCCATTGGTCTTCGGGTCTGTTTTTGTGCCAGTACCATGCTGTCTTTGTGATTATAGCTCTGTAGTAGAGTTTGAAGTTCGGCATGGATAGCCCTCCCATATTGTCTTTATCCCCTAGAATTGTTTTGGCTATTCTAGGTCTTTTGTTGTTCCATATAAATTTTTGGACTGTTTTCTGTATTTCAGTGATGTATGTCATTGGGATTTTAATAGGAATTGCATTGAATTTGTATATTAATTTTGGAAGTATCACCATCTTTACTATATTAAGTCGGCCTATCCAGGAGCATGGGAGGTCTTTCCATTTCCTAGTGTCTTCTGCAATTTCTTTCTTTAACTTTTTATAGTTCTCATTAAATAGTTCTTTTACATCTTTGGTTAGGTTAATTCCTAAATATTTTATTTTTTGGGAGGTTATTGTGAATGGGGTTGCTCCCTTTATTTCCCTCTCTTCCTGTGCGTTATCAGTGTATAGGAAGGCAACTGATTTTTGTGGGTTTATTTTGTATCCTGCTATTTTGCCGAAGTGACTTATGATTTCTAAAAGTTTGGGGATGGAGTTTTTGGGATCGTGGAGGTATAGTATCATGTCGTCTGCAAAAAGGGATAGTTTCACTTCTTCTTTCCCTATGCGGATCCCTTTAATGTCTTTTTCTTGCCTTATTGCCCTGGCTAAGGGTTCTAGGACTATGTTGAAGAGGAGTGGAGATAGTGGACATCCTTGCCTTGTTCCTGTTTTTAGGAGGATTGGTTGTAGCTTTTCCCCATTAAGTATAATATTGGCTATTGGTCTGTCATAAATGGCTTTTATTGTTTTTAGAAATGTTCCTTCTATTCCTATTTTCTCCAGAGCTTTTAGCATGAATGAATGTTGAATTTTATCAAAGGCCTTTTCTGCATCTGTGGCGATAATCATGTGATTCTTGACCTTGGCTCTGTTGATATGCTGGATTACATTTATTGACTTACGTATGTTAAACCATCCCTGTGTCTCTGGGATGAAGCCTACCTGATCATAGTGTATTATTTTTTTTATGTGTTTCTGGATTCTGTTAGCTAGAATCTTGTTAAGGATCTTTGCATCTGTGTTCATCAAGGAGATTGGCCTGTAATTCTCCTTTTTGGTTGGGTCTTTGCCTGGTTTGGGGATGAGTGTGATATTGGCTTCGTAGAATGAGTTTGGGATAGCTCCCTCCTTCTCTGTTTCTCTGAAGAGCTTGAGGAGTATGGGTATTAGTTCTTCTTTAAAGGTCTTATAGAATTCTGCTGTGAATCCATCTGGTCCTGGGCTTTTTTTTGTTGGAAGACTTTTGATAGCTTCCTGTATCTCATTATAGGATATTGGCTTATTTAATTGGTTAACTTCTTCTTTGCTCAGTTTGGGTAACTTGTATTTCTCTAAAAATGCATCCATTTCCGCCAGATTTTCTTCCTTTAGAGAGTATAGCTTTTGAAAGTAGTCTGTTAGAATTGTTTGGATATCTTGGGTACGTGTTGTGATGTTTCCCGTGGCATCCCTAATCCTATTAATATGGGTTTCCTCTCTTCTTTTTTTAATTAATCTTGCCAACGGGCCATCAATTTTGTTTATTTTTTCAAAGAACCAGCTTTTTGTTTGGTTTATTTTGGTTATGGTTTTCTGATTTTCTAATTGGTTAATCTCTGCTCTCAATTTGGTTATCTGGCTTCGTCTAGTAGCTTTAGGTCCCATTTTTTCTTGTTTTTCTAGCTGTTTTAGTTGCAACATGAGATTATTTACTTGGTCTGTCTCCATTCTCTTGATGTGGGCACTGAGGGCAATAAATTTGCCCCTCAGGACTGCTTTTGCTGTGTCCCACAAGTTTCTTTGTGAGGTGTTTTCATTTTCATTGAGTTCTAGGAAATGCTTTATTTCTTCTCTGATCTCTTCTGTTACCCAGGCCTTGTTAAGGAGTGTGCTGTTCAATTTCCATGTATTAGAGAAATTTCTGCGGTATGCTTTGTTATTGAGAGCTAGCTTGATTCCACTGTGGTCAGATAGGATACAGGGGATTATGTCGATCCCTTTGTATTTGCTTAAGTTCCTTGAATGAACTATGATATGGTCTATTTTGGAGAAAGTTCCATGAGCTGCTGAGAAGAATGTGTACTGTGTTGTTTTAGGGTGAAATACTCGGTAGATGTCAGTTAATTCCGCTTGAAGTATGGCCTCACTTAATTCGGTAGCTTCTTTGCCAATCCTCTGGTTGGTAGACCTGTCCTTTGGTGAGAGTGGCGTGTTAAAGTCTCCTAGTATTATCGTATTGGGATCTATTTTATTCTGTAAGTTTGAGAGCATTTGTTTAACATATCTGGGTGCACCGATATTTGGGGCATATAAGTTGATGATGGTTATATCCTCCTCTTGGATTGTTCCCTTTATTAATATGTAATGTCCGTCCTTGTCTTTCTGTACTGATTTTAATGAAAAGTTTATTTTGTCAGATATCAGGATAGCTACACCTGCTTTCTTATTGGGGGAATTTGATTGGTAGATCCTTTTCCACCCCTTCACTCTGAGTTTGTTTGTATGTTTGGCTGAGAGGTGGGTCTCCTGAAGGCAACAGATGGATGGGTCTTGTTTTCTGATCCAGTCCTCAGTTCGTTTTCTTTTAATTGGCGAATTCAGCCCATTTATATTAAGAGAAAGTATAGAGAGATGCATTGTTGTCCCTGCCATTCCGTTTTCCTAAGTTTTTCTTCTTTCCTTTCCTCCTGTGCTTGCTCAGTTAGACTTTGAGTAATGCCTGTTTGGGGCAGGTCCCAGTTCCTGGTTGCTTTCTTCAGGTTGTGTCCCCCCTCTTAGAATTCTTTGTAATGCTGGCTTAATGTTTATGTATTCATTTAGTTTTTCTTTGCTATTAAAAGTTTTCAGTTCTCCATCGAATGTGAATGCTAGCTTTGCCGGGTATATCAGTCTGGGTTGGCAGTTATTGGCTCTCAGGGCTCGTATGGTGCTTTCCCAGGCTTTTCTTGCATTCATTGTTTGTGTGGAGAGATCTGCAGTGATTCTAATTTTTTTCCCGTTGTAGTATAGCTCCTTCTTCATTTTTGCTGCATGCAGGATTGTTTCCTTATTATTCAGATCCATCATTGTTACTATTATGTGCCTAGAAGTGTTTCTCCTGGGATCTTGCTTGTTGGGTGTTCGATAAGCTTTTGTGATGTAGTTAAGATGGTCGTTTTTGAGGTGGGGAAAATTTTCATTGACTATCTTGTTAAATAGGTGTTGCATTCCCTTGCTCTGGAATTCCTCACCTTCGTCCACTCCGATTATGCGAAGGTTAAATTTTTTAGCATTATCTGCTTGCTCTTGAATTTCCCTTTGGTTTAATTTGAGTGATTTTTCCATATCTGTCACTTTTTGGTCCAGTTGGTGTATTCTGTCTTCTGTATCTGACACTCTACCTTCCATTTCATTCACTCTGTTGACCGTGGCTTCTATTGTGGTTTGCATGATGGAAATGGATCCCTTTATGGATTCAATGTTGGTTCTCAGAGTACTGATCTCACCTCTCAATGAGGTGATATCAGTATGCATTACCTCTAATTTGGCGTTTATCTCACTTCTTACTGAGGTTTGTGCAGCTTCTATTTTTGCATCCAATTTTTGTTTGATATCCTGTATATCTTTTGATAGTTCATCCTTGTGCTCTTTCAATTTCTGATCCATTTCTCGCTTTATTTCTTGAGTCATTGCCTCCAGCAACCCTTGGATGTAGTTTTTGTCTTCCATTCCTGCTTTGCTCCCACTGGGGCTCTCCCCTGCGTGGCTGCTGGCTTTTGAGGTGAGCTTGCTGTCCTGGGTAGTGGTAAACCTTGTGATTTTTCTCTGTGATTTTCGCATGGGGGTTCAGGAGACTGCTCTTCAATCTTGTTTTGGTGTGTCTGTCTTTGCTTGGTTGCTGATTCTCTATTGGTAGAGAGAGTCTGTGTCTGATCTGGATTCTGTTGGGAGCCTATTTCCAGCTGCTATTCACTTAGGATTCTCAGCTCTCTGCTGTAGCAATTCCCGCCTTTGGAAGGGTTGAGCAGCCTAGACTGCTTGTGTTTGCTCCTGCGGGTGCTCTTGGGAAGATCAGATGCTCTGGATGCACTCTCCCAAATACTGGAGTCTGCTATGGGCTCCTGATGTGTTTTTGTTTGTTTTGGGCTGGTTGTGGGCTTGAACTCTAGGTTTGGGTGCTGTCCCTCAGCTCTTCAGCTCAGGGCTGGCACCCTACCATTTGAGCCACAGCCCCACTTCTGACCCTTTTTGCTTTGTTCAGGCGCCGGTCCCCTGGCCTGGTTCCGGCCCCAGCCTGGAGCGCGCTCGTTAGGCCTGTGCTAATGTGTATACCACCTTGGTTATGCAGCCTGGAGGACACAGTTCGAATTTCTTCTACTGTTGGTAGTCTTGACCCAGGGGCACTGTTCCTGGCTTGAGCATTTAAGCTCCCTTCCCGGGGCGCTCTTGCTCTGGCCTGGCCAGCAGAGTGTGCTCCACCGGCTGGTGGGGCTCTCGAACAGTTCCCAGTTTTAGTGGGTCCTGTGGTCCGGGTGTTGGGGTAGGGAGTCTAGGTCAGGGTCTGGGGATTCCCTCCAGCTCTGGTCTCCCTTGATGGATTCCCTGTCCCCTGATGGGTACTCACCCTGTAGGTCGTCAGTTGTTGTTGCAGTCCGAGTTCAGTTGGGGTGGTTGCGGGCTGGGTTGGGCGGCCCCCCGCCGGGTCGTTGCGATCGCGACAGGTCCCTTTGTGGCGCTGCTGGTGCCGGGCGGCTTTGGCGGGATGGAGCCTCTCCGCTCCGGTGGAGAGTGATGGGTGGGGTGGGATCCTCCTGGAGACTCCCGGCTGGTAGGTTTCTCTGTTCCTGGCGATCCGCTGTTCTGCAATCCGGTACCTGGTGATCTGCAAGCAGCCCCCTGTGTCTCTGTGGCTCCGGCAGCCCCTGCCGGGCCGGCTGGCCGGCGGCTTGGCGCACTGCCGCGCGGCCAGTAAAGGTTGGGGGAGGGGTCTTCGCTCTTCTCTGTTCTGAAATTCTTCTTTTCCTCTCTTTCTTTTTTTGTTATTTTCCACCTCTGGTTTTTCTCTGAGTGTTCGTCTTTTTGTTGTTGTCGGTCTCTTGGGGAGATTAAAGGTTGGAACTCGAACTCTCTTTTTGGTTGGAGAGAGCTGTGGCGTTTCCCTACTGCCCCGTCGCCATCTTGAGAACTCCTCCTGGGATAAGAGTTTTAAAACATGATTCTCAGATCTCAGCCTCTTGAGTAGCTGGGATTCTAGGTGTGAGCCACTAGCATCCAGCCTCCTGTTTTTAGTTTGGTAGGGACTATTGTTCATTCATCATTGGTTATTTTCATTCTGTAAGGCTTAGGTGTCACATTCTTGGCCATTTGTAAAAATGATGGGATTGACCTCTTTTTGGATTCTGGCAGTTTATATTGGAATGGTGCTTGTGAGAGTGAAATGGCCTTTCATTTTCCATTTTCATGAAGAGAAAGGATCTACCGTACCAATTTGTCAAGTGATTTCAGAGAAATCCAAACTCTGACCTCCTGGGTCTGTAATGGTTCATTGCAGCAGAGAGGAAAGTTGGTCATGGGGGCTGATTTTGATGGTGTTTTGCTCTCTTTCAGCTGGGATGAATGGGTTCCAGAGAGCAGAGTACTCAAGTACGTGGACACCAATCTGCAGAAACAACGAGAACTTCAAAAGGCCAATCAGTAAGTTTATGGGAAATCAGCCATGAAATCATGTGCTGCTATTGGTTCTTGTCACCTGTCAGCCCTGTGTGGCTTTGACTTGAAGTGGTTAGATAAGCCTTTTCTAGATAAGGGGATGAATCCTGCTATTGCGGCTGTTCTTGGGTTCTGTGGAAAGTACACTGGACAGGGAAACAGGAGAAACATCCACATTAACTCATGTCTGAAAACACACTGGGGTAGAGAGACCCAGAAAGACTGCCTTAATTTCAAAGCTGAGCTGTGTACTTAAAGATGATAATGTTGAAAGAGGGTCAGATTAAAAGCAAACATTGTGATTAGTGAATTCCAAAATATATGTAACTGGACTTAGATGCCATCAAGTTAGAGCATCTACTTTAGAATTGGTAGTCTTACATACTTTTTTTTTTGCTTGATTTTTGTAAATCCCTTGTGTCTTATTTGTTAAGAGTTAAGAATAAAAGTGTGCCAGAATGTGTGTGAGCTAGGGAACCCTGATCAGGAATGTGGGGTCCAAGTCCATATGGACCCACACTAGCACCATTGTGTTTTCTAGCCAAGTGCTTCCTTAACCATACTGAAATTACTTTCGCAGGGAGCAGTATGCGGAGGGGAAGATGAGAGGGGCGGCTCCGGGAAAGAAGACATCCGGCCTGCAGCAGAAGAGTGTTGAAGTGTAAGGGGCACTGTCTTTGCTTCCATTACATGCAGGTTTTTTTGTTGTTGTTGCTATTTTGTTTTTGCCAGTCCTGGGATTTGAACTCAGGGCCTGGGCACTGTTTCTGAGCTGCTTTTGCTCACGGCTAGCACTCTACCACTTTGAGCCATAGCGCTACTTCTGGCTTTTTCCGTTTATGTGGTGCTGAGGAATTGAACCCAGGGCCTCATGCATTCAAAGCAGGCACTCTACCACTGAGCCACCTTTCCAGTCCCCTACATATAGTTTTATATAGTAAGTTAAACTTAAATCTCACAGGTTAAGACTGTGGAAAGTTGAAGTGTTGGAACTTTAAAAAGGCTAATAAAGCTTTTCCGTTACCAGGTTGTTAGTCACAAAAAATTGCACAAGTCTGTGGTTTTCCTTAGTGACTCCACCCCAGTGCTTCATTAAACCATGATTGCAGTTGAGTGGCATTAAGTACACTGAGAATCCTTATAAGTTACGTGTGTATGCATGTGATATTTTCTCTTAAGGTGGTATTGAGTTACCAGCAAGACAAAATTTTGAGGTAAATTTTGAACAAAGTTTACTTTTTCAGTAATGCTGAAATGTGTATAGGTAAAACAATCTAAGAAAAAAACCAATACTTGTTAACTCTAGGCATGTAGGTCATTATCCTGTAGTACGGGTCATGCATGTGTACATGGTGTGTGCCTAAAGTTTATGCGCTTGGCTGGAATGGCAGCTAATACAATTTTTAAGCATTCGTGATATGAGAACATAATGATCACATCTTGTCATCACATCTTGTCCCACCCAGTCATGTGTCTTGAACTTGGCCTTGGCGCTGTCCCTGAGCTTTGTTGCTTAAGGCTAACATTCTGTCACTGAAGCCACAGCGCCACCTCTGCCTTTATTGATGGTTAATTGTAGATAAGCGTCTCAGGGACTTTCCTGCCTGGGCATCAAACCTTAGATCTCAGCCCCCTGAGTAGCTAGGATTACAGGCATGAGCTGAACCACCAGCACCCAGCTAGATCACAAATTTGCTGAGCTACCTGTTTGTGCCTTTGGTGGTGTGCTGCTAGTCAAAGGGAATCTCATATGCTGGGTGCTGGAGGCTCACACCTGTAATCCTCTACGCAGGAGGTTGAGATCCAAGGATCGCAGTTCAAAGCCAGCCTGGGCAGCAAACTCCATGAGACTCTTTTCTCCAGTTAACCACCAGAAAACCGGAAGTGGTGCTGTGGCTCAAGCCATAGAGTGCTTGCTTTGAGCTGAAGAGCTCAGGGACAGTGCCCAGGTCCAGAGTTCAAGTCCCATGACCAACCAAAAAAAAGGGTGGAGGGGGAACTAAGGTACTTCAATGTGACTTGCCCAAATTTTAAATTTGTTTTTTGTTACTATATTGGAGGATAAGGTCTCTACATATAACCCAGGTTGATCTTTAACTCATGTTCTTCCTACCTGAATCTCCCTAGAGCTGGGATCATAGGACTGTGCCATCATGCCTCATGCGAAGGGATGTTAGAGGTCCTATGTCTTATCTTTGGAAACATCTTCACATTGGCTCCTGGATTTTGGCACCATCTTCCTGGGGTTGGAACTCATCCTCGTGTTTGCCAGGCAGATGGTCTATCTTGGAGCTACTCTTTTAGTCCTTGTTTTTAGGTTCTGTTTTAGATGAGGTCTCATGTTACCTTGGCCTGGCCTCAGGCCACACTCTTTGTACCTTTTACTCGCATGTAGCTGGGATTACAAGTTTGCCACCTGTTCCTGTTAAGCATGACTTTGTTGAATGAGGGTCTCACTTAGCTTTTTCCCCAGATACTGGGGAACTGTGATGGCTCTGCTCTTCATCTCTATGTAGCTGGGATTACATTTGTGTGAGCCATTGTGGATTCTTTACAGAGAAGCTTAACAGTTTTGCTTGATGATAACAGTAGTCATAGGGCTTAGAAGTTAGGAATGCAGACTGAATATTGGTGATTGCACATTCTGAAAAAGTAGCTTGCATGTTTTATAGAGCAAATGAGGGCTGGGAAGTCAGATCAGTAATAGAGTGTTTGCCTCACTTGCATGAGGCCCTGGATTCAATTCCTCAGCCAGAAGTGGCACTGTGGGCTCAAGTGGTAGGGCGCTAACCTTGAACTGAAGAGCTGAGGGACAGCACCCAGGCCCAGAGTTCAGGCCCCAGGACTGACAAAAAAAAGAGCAAATGAGATGGAGCAGGAATGTTCAGGAATTCTTACTACTGGGGTCCACTAAAATATTGTTCCAGATCTTCTATCTTTGGGTGGGTGGTGGTGGGGATAGAAACAAGGTCCTTGTGCATGCTAGACAAAAACACTCCACCATTTCCCTCGAGTCTTCAGAGTTGAAGCCAGTTGTATCAGTGTTTTTAATTTTATTTATTTATTTATTATTAATTTTTTTTTGGGTCCGTTCATGGGGCCTGAACTCTGGGTCTGGGCGCTATCCCTCAGCTCTTCAGCTTAAGGCTAGCACTCTACCACTTGAGCCACAGTGCCACTTCTGGCTTTTTTATTTTTGTTTATATGGTGCTGAGGAATCGAACCCAGGGCCTCATGCATGCAAGGCAAGCGCTCTACCACTGAACCATCTTCCCAGCCCCAGTGTTTTTAATTTTAGAGTAGAGAGTAAGTGTAAAAGATGGAGAGTAAAAACTCTTGGTTTCTTTTTTGTCCTTTATATTATTGATACAAGCAAGTAAAGTGCATGGTTTAATCTGATTCAGAAATGCTGCTCCAAAAATAATTAGTATTAGAAAAGTTGACATCCTCCTGAGTAGCTAGGATTGTAGGTGAACTCGTGGTACCTGGTCAGAACTTTTTTTTTTTTTTTTGGGTCCGGTTGTGGGGCCTGAACTCTGGGTCTGGGCGCTGTCCCTCAGCTCAAGGCGAGTGCTCTACCACTTGAGCCACAGCACCACTTCCGGCTTTTTTCTTTTTGCTTATGTGGTGCTGAGGAATTGAACCCAGGGCCTCAGGCATGCAAGGCAAGCGCTCTACCACTGAGCCACCTTCCCAGCCCCCCTGGTCAGAACTTAAATAGGCAAAGCTAGTAATTTCTGGTTTGGGTAGTCAAGAACTAGGTTGTTAATAGCGGTGAGCTAGATGGACATCAGCTTTGTTTTAGCTATGGGAAAGAGATAATTAGATGATGGGAGATTTGACCAGTGTGAAGGGAGTAACATATTTAACAAATACACAAATTTAAAATCAAAAGTAGTTTTTGGGAAAAACTACGTTAAAATAATTGGGGAAAACAAAAAACTTTGTGTGGAATTAATAACTTAATATTCATGTGTAATCCCTTTTCTTATAAAGATAATATTTAGCTGAAGATAACTTGTTTTGTTAAGCAATAATTTTTCTTTGTCTTTTCAGGAAAACCAAAAAGAATAAGCAGAAAGGTAAGAATATTAGCTTTCTTAAAATTAACCTCACTTTACGTAAACTTTAGAATGTTTGTGGTTTGAAATCACCCTTTTTAAAAGAACTTAACATTTTTAAAAGAACTTACCATTTTGGAGTAGGGTTGTAATATTTTTGATGCTCTTAAGTGAGAGAGCAGCAATGTTGTAGATGCATACGTGAGTATTAGTAAACCTAGCCCTGATTTTTCATTTGTGAAATTCAGTTATTTTCATGTGTTTCAGTTTTATACGTGAGTATTAGTAAGCCTAGCCCTGATTTTTCATTTGTGAAATTCAGTTATTTTCATGTGTTTCAGTTTTCTCTTTAAAAATACATTGTCTTCATTTTTAGCATATATTATTCACGTTAAATAATGTTTTGCTGTGGGGTTTTTATGCACGTGTATGAATACACTTCAATATATTCACACACATCACCCTCTCTTGTCTCTCCCTTTGGTCCCCTTTTCTCAAATTCATCTGCTTTAGTTTTTTTTTTCTTTTTTCTTATAGGCTGGTCCTGGGGCTTGAACTTAGGGCCTGGTCATTGTCCCTGAGCTTTTGTGCTCAAAACTAGTTCTCTATCACTTGGAACCACAGCAACATTTCTGGCTTTTTGGTAGTTAATTGGAGTTAAGAATGTCTCAGGGACTTTCTGATCTGGCTGGCTTTGAACAACATGATCATCAGCCCTCAGCTTCCTGAGTAGCTAGGATTACAAGTGTGAGCCGCTGGCACCTGGCTTTTGTCTGCTTTAGTCTTAATGACTCCTCCATAAGAGATAGGATTTTTTTTTGGGGGTCCGGTTGTAGGCCTGAACTCTGGGCTGGGGCTCTGTCCCTCAGCTCTTCAGCTCAAGGCTAGTGTTCTACCACTTGAGCCCCAGCACCACTTCCGGGTTTTTTCTTTTTGCTTATGTGGTGCTGAGGAATCAAACCCAGGGCCTCATGCATGCAAGGCAAGCGCTCTACCTCTGAGCCACCTTCCCAGCCCAAGAGATAGGGTTTTTAATAAATGGAAGATGGTGATATCACTATGTTTCTGTTAAATATTAAATAGGTAGAACTGTTAGAGTTTATTTTTGATTAGGAGGAGTGTGACTTAATTCTCTAATATCATTTTTATAGTGGGCAAATAATGCCTCTGTTAAATATTAAATAGGTAGAACTGTTAGAGTTTATTTTTGATTAGGAGTGTGACTTAATTCTCTAGTATCATTTTTATAGTGGGCAAATAATGAAAGTAGGTATGTTAGATTTCATGACAATTCTTAACCAATTCTTTACCCCTGTTTTTCCATAGCACCTGGCAATGGAGATGGTGGCAGTACCAGTGAGACACCCCAGCCTCCTCGGAAGAAAAGGGCTCGGGTGGATCCTACTGTTGAAAATGTGAGTTCTTTTCCACTTCCTTTTTTTCTTCTAGATAGCGTCTCCCAGTGTTGAGGCTGTCCCCATCCTCCTTCCCTGTGCTGTGATTACAGGTGTGCTACCACCTCACATGGCTGCAAATTGGTTTGTAAAAATCATTTTTGTGTATGTGTGCCAGTCCTGGGGCTTGAACTCAGGGTCTGGGCACTGTCCAAGAGCTTTTTGCTCAAGGCTAGTGCTCCACCACTTGAGCCACAGCTCCACTTCCAGCTTTTTTTGGTAGTTAATTGGAGATAAGTAGCTCCTTTGCATGTCAGTCCTCAGCCTCCTAAGTAGCTAGGATTACAAGTGTGAGCTACCAGAGCCCATCTTTTACAAGTTTCCCCATCCTTTTTTTGTCAAGTCATGGGGCCTGAACTCGGGGCCTGGGTGCTGTCCCTCAGCTCTTCAGCTCAAGGCTAGCCACAGCACTACTTCTGGCCTTTTCTGCTTATGTGGTGCTGAGGAAACCTAGGGCCTCATGCATGCAAGGCAAGCAGTCTACCACTGAGCCACCTTCCCAGCCCCCTACAAGTTTTTTTTTTCAATACTTTTTATTGTAAAAATACTGTACAGAGGGGTTACAGTTACATGGTAAGATAATGAGTACATTGCCTGTCGAGCATTGTTGCCTCCTACTCTTTTCCCCTACCCCATCCCTTCCTTCCCAACTCCCTAGCTAGTCCCTCCCCCCCTGCAAGTTTTTTTTTTAATATAACCTGTTAGAATTTTTAGTCATAGCACATAGTGCTTGGTTTTCCAAAGTATTACTGTTAACTCTAGTTCCACATATGTGTGAGGAAAAAGCTCTAGAATTGTTATAATATTATTTCTAATTTTACTGTTTCAATTATGATTTCCAGAGTTAGTAAGCTGGGAAAATAGGACTTTTAAGTTTTAATTGAAATGGCTTATGTAGCTGCCAATATGTAAAATTAATGAGATCCTTATATTCTTTTTTTTTTTTTAATTTAATTTAATTTTATTTGAGAACATACTGTACAGAGGGGTTACAATTACATGGGCAGGATAATGCATACATTTCTTACCAAGCATTGCAGCCTCCTCCTTTGTTTACCCTTCACCTCCCTTCCCAGCCTCCCCCTTCCCCCCCACCCAATCATACCCCCCCTCCCCCCTTATATTCTTAAAATGGTTACTTTAGGACATATTTTGAAGACTTAATAAGGAATCAGTATACTGAATTGATTTTTGTGAATTGAAGATGTTCCTTTAAAGATAGTCATGTTTGGGATAGTTATTTGGATATCGACAATAAAATTGAAAAGAGTTAAATTATACGATGTCTGGGTGTTCATTTCCAGAAAGAAGGAAATTCACTAAAGAAGTTTGGTCTTCACAGGAAGATAGTTAAGTGGATAGTAGGAGGCAAGAGTGTATTCCTTTTTTCTTTTCCTAGGTGCATGATAGTCTCTTAGGTTTTAAATGTCAGTTCCAGCTGTGTGAATGTTTTCTAGTGTCTAGAAACCAACAAAAGCCTCTTTCAAGAGTCCTATCTAAACAAGAAAAGATTTTTTATTATTATTCTCTTTGTATTTTCTATTTAGGAAGAAACATTTATGAACAGAGTTGAAGTTAAAGTGAAGATTCCTGAAGAGCTTAAACCATGGCTTGTGGATGACTGGGACTTAATTACCAGACAGAAACAGGTACATTGAAGAACTAGACAAGCTCATAAGCTGCATGCCTATGTTTTTACTAGCAAAAAAGTAAAAGAGGGCTCGGTGTGGGGATACATCCAGAAGGAGTAACTTGAGATATACAACTGTGTGATAGTTGAGATAATTCTTATTTGGAAGTTACTGTGGCAGGAACTCGAACATTGCTAGACAATGCGCATGTGTTTTCTGTCACTGAGAATGAACATACTTACAGAATATAATCACACACAGCATCACCTGCAGAGGAAAGCAGAGTCTAATTGAGGTCTTTCATAGGATAGGGATATTTAACAGGGGCCTCATGAGTTCAGTCATGTAAATCCAGAAAAAGAAGTTTGGGGGGGTGGGGTTAGTCCTAGGGTTTAAAGAACTCAGGCTTGCTAGACAGTGTGCTACCTCTTGAATCACACCTTCTTTTTACTGGTTATTTGGAGGTGGATTCTAGCAAACTTTTCTGCTTGAGTCCAGCCCTTGAAATCTGTGTTCTTAGTAGGATTACAAACCCGAACCACTGACCCTGAACTGGACTCAGTTTCTTTAAATGAGGATAAACGGTTTAGGTGAGGCAGGGATGTGGTGGTGGAGGAGGTGGTGGAGGCGGAGGCGTTGATGTTGATGGTTATAGAAGTTGGGAGACCTAGCAGTTGGGCGCAGAGTCTGAACACAGTGTGAATCCTGACTTGAATTCTTTGGCTGTAGATTACGGTTATGCAGCTAAGCTGCCAATATTTAAGCTATGGGTCTGCCACTGTGTGTGAGCTAGGACATGTTTTTCAGGGTGCACTTAATGGAGTGATAGCCCCCACTCCGTGGGATTGATGTGAAAATGAAAAGGAAGAATTGCAGTAATGTTGTAGACTGGGTCTGGTCTGGGTCTGGCTGGGGCTTGGTCATTCACGCAGTGAGGAATCGATGGGGGGAGGCCGCTTGCTTTGCTACAGTCTGTAGAGAGGCAGCCATAGATAGCAGCTTGGTTCCCAGTTTTCAGCTATTCTATTGGAGTGGAGTAGTTCTTCCTCAGTCACAAAACCATGTTTCAGTTGCCGAATAGTGTCTGTTTTGTAAATTTATTAGTCACTACTTGTGTGTACTGCTTGACTTTGTTCACCACTGGTGCTCACTAGAGCCATGTCTCCAGTCTGGCTTTTGCTGATTAATTGGAGATGAGAGTCATAACTTTCTGTGCAGGTTGGCTTCAAACCATGATTCTCAGATCTCAGCCTCCTGAGTCGCTAGGATTACAGCCTCTGGATAGAGCTTGGCTAATTGCTTACATTTGCATAAAAGCTTACTCTACATATACTTTTTTTTTTTTAAGGCATTTATATTGAAGTTTTTTTTTTTCTAGCTCTTTTATCTTCCTGCTAAGAAGAATGTGGATTCCATTCTAGAAGATTATGCAAATTATAAGAAATCTAGAGGAAACACAGATAATAAGTAAGAGTATACTCTTTTCAAGTAGATCCTAAGATAGTTTTCCTTTATTTTAAATGTCAAACATCTGCAATTTCTTTTTTTTTTTTTGGTCGGTCGTGGATGCTGAACTCTGGGCCTGGGCCGCTGTCCCTCAACTCTTCAGCTCAAGGCTAGAGATCTACCACTCGAGCCATAGCGCCATTTCTGGCTTTGTTCTGCTTATGTGTTGCTAAGGAATTGAACCCAGGGCCTCATGCATGCAAGGCAAGCTCTCTACCACTGAGCCACTTTCCCAGCCCCACATCTGCAATTTCTAATTTGAATTAGTGCCATCAGAAATGAGCAAGCTGGCTGGGTACCTGTGGCTCATTCCTGTAATCCTAGCTACTCAGGAGGCTGAGATCTGAGGATCACAGTTCAAAATCAGCCTGGGCAGGAAAGTCCGTGAGACTCTTACCAATAACTACCAGAAAACCAGAAGTGGTGCTGTGGCTTAAGTGGTAGAGTGCTAGCCTTGAACTGATAGAGCTGAGGGTCAGTGCCCAGGCCTAGAGTTCAAGCCCCACAACCGACAAAGGAAAAAAAGAAATGAGCAAGCTAGAATGGCTCATACCTTTCATCTTAGCTACTCAGGAGGCTGAGATCTGAGGATTGCAGTTTGAAGCCAGCCTGTGCAGGAAAGTCTGTGAAACTCTAATCTCCAATTAATCACCGGAAAACCAGAAGTGGTGCTATGGCTCAAGTGGTAGAACATTTGCCTTGAGCTGAAGAACTGAGGGACAGAGCCCAGGTCCAGGGTTCAAGCCCCACAACTGACCAAAAAAAAAAGAGTGAAATATTCACTGGTTTGATAGAGATTTTCTGACAAGCTGTTGTTTTTCTTAGTGTCTAAATAGTTGGATTTTAGGCACCTTGAAGGTATTATGTAGGTATGTACATAATCATTTAAAATGGATAATTTTCAAGTATAAAAACCTTGTTTTGAGAGTTGCAGTTTGTCACACTTTGTAGCTTTTTTGTTTTGTGCTGGTCCTGAGGGTTGATCTCAGGGTCTGGGCACTGTCCCTGAGCTTCTTTTGATCGAGGCTAGCACTTTTTTTTTTTTGTCGGTCATGGGGCTTGAACTCAGGGCCTGAGCGCTGTCCCTCAACTCTTCAGCTCAAGGCTGTGCTCTACCGTTTGAGCTACATACAGCACTACTTCTGGTTTTCTTTTTTTTTTGTTTGGGTCCGGTTGTGGGGCCTGAACTCTGGGCCTGAGCGCTGTCCCTCAGCTCTTCAGCTCAAGGCTAGCGCTCTACCACTTGAGCCACAGCACCACTTTGGCTTTTTTCTTTTTGCTTATGTGGTGCTGAGGAATCGAACCAGGCCTCAGGCATGCAAGGCAAGCACTCTACTACTGAGCCACCTTCCCAGCCCCCCACTTCTGGTTTTCTAGTGGTTTATTGGAGATAAGAGTCTCATAGATGTTGATGTTCCTGCCCGGGCTGGCTTTGAACTGTGATCCTCAGATCTCAAGCTCCTGAGTAGCTAGGATTATAGGCGTGAGCCACCGGCGCCCACCTGAGGCTAGCACTCTTAACCATTGAAGCCACAGTTCCACTTCCAGCTTTATGTTGGTTAATTGGAGTCTCATGGGCTTCAAACCATGACCCTTAGATCTCAGCCTCCTTAGTTGCTAGGATTATAGCTGTGAGCTACTGGTGCGTGGCTTTGTGGATTTTTAGTCTCATGCTCTTGTCCAGTCATTTAGGAAAAGGTCACAGCAGTTGATGCCGCTAGCTCAGTCATCCCCCGGAGTTGGGTGAGTTGTAGTAGTTGTTTTTGTGGAGGAGCATTACGTGGATCATGAGTGCTTGTGGTTGCATCTAAGGGAGTACGCCGTGAATGAAGTTGTGGCTGGGATTAAAGAGTACTTTAATGTGATGCTGGGCACCCAGCTGCTCTACAAGTTTGAGAGGCCTCAGTACGCAGAGATCCTCGCCGACCACCCTGACGCGCCCATGTCCCACGTGTATGGAGCACCCCACCTCCTGCGACTGTTCGGTAAGTGGGGCATTGTAGCACAGTTTGTTTTTCTGGAATAATCGAGTGCAAGTTAAAAGTAACTGGCTAAACCCACTCCTTTCCAACTGGAACTTGGCCCTAGAAGGTTCAATACAGCAAAATTGGTTTTAAATATCAAGAGATAGTTCTCTGGCAGTACAGGGTTTTGAACAGGCCCTTGCTCTTACCAGGCAGGGACTTTTTTTTTTGGCTAGTCCTGGGGCTTGAACTCGGGGCTGGGCACTGTCCCTGAGCCTCTCTGTGCTCAAGGCTAGCGCTCTATCACTTGAGCCACAGTGCCACTTGCGGCCTTTTCTGTATGTGTGGTACTGAGGACTCAAACCCACGGCTTCATGTATGCTAAGCAGGTAAGTTACTCTCACCACTGAGCTACATTCCCAGCCCCATAGGCAGGGACTCTGGAGCCCCAAGGAGTTTTAAAATGATGGAATTGAAAGCAAGTGCTGATGGTAAAGGCCAAACGCCTGGTTCTGCCCTGGGCAGTCGGTAACTCACTCAGCTCTCTGTGCGTGCAGTTCGCATTGGAGCGATGCTGGCCTACACTCCGCTGGATGAGAAGAGCCTGGCATTATTACTGAACTATCTTCATGATTTCCTCAAGTGAGTAATTGCATGTAGTAATAATATGAATTAGTTATGTCTACTGAAAGTTGGCAGATACATAATCATACTAAGACACAGGTGTCAGGAGATGGCGACTAGATAGATGGGTGTCATACAAATGGTGGAGAAGAAATGGAGGGTGGTTGAGGGGTTTCGTCATGCATGCGTATTTGAGGGCTGCATTCTTGGGGCTTGAACTTGGCCTGGGCACTGTCCCTGTGCTTTCTTGCTCAAAGCATTTTGGTTGTTAATTGGAGAGGAGATTCTTGTGGACTTTTCTGCCTGGGCTGGCTTCGAGGGGCAGCGAGGATGACAGGCGTGAGCCACCAGCACCCAGCAAGGACTGGAGCTTAATAACAGGCAGTGAGAAAAGGAGCTGGGAGTGCTGGTTCATGCCTTTGTTCCTAGCTGTAGGAAGCACCTAAGCACTCTTCCTTTTGGAGCGGGGCCCTGGTGGCTCACAGCCACTCAGAAGGTTGAGATCTGAAGATTGTAGTAGGAGGCCAGCCTGGGCAGGAAAGTTAGTGAGACTCTTACCTCCGACTAACCACTAAAAAGCTAAATGGAGCTGTGGCTCAAGTGGTAGAGCACTAGGTTGAGCACAAATAAAGGTCAGGCACAGTGTCCAGGCCCTGAGTTTGAGTCCCAGGACCAGCATAAAAACAACAAAAACCCTGTTTTGGGTAGCACTGCTGCCTAGCAGTAGGATGGTTGTGGTTTAACTGTGGCTTTCAGCTGCCTGTTTGCTGTGGGAGATGGGGTGGGGGTGCTGGACTTCATTCCTGTGTGCATGCATCTCTTCCATTGTCTTCTGTGTGGGCATTGTGATTGCTCACTTCCTGGGTGGTAGAGCCGTGTTGGGTGTAGTTTGTATGTATGTGCAATGAAATTTGAAAGCCTTAAAATGAATATTTACTTTTAGGTACCTGGCCAAGAATTCTGCGACCTTGTTTAGTGCCAGCGATTATGAAGTGGCTCCCCCTGAGTACCACCGGAAGGCCGTGTGAGCGCTCATGTGGGATCTGTGGAACACGTTGCAAGCGTGCGCACGTGTTTGATGTGTGTGACACGTTCCTAATCCTCCTCTTGTACAGACGGTGTACTTTGAAGATGTTAGTGTACTACAGAATTGATCATTGTTTCGTTCCATTTTAAACAGAGAAAATAAAAGGGGTTACCACTCCTTTTCCTTTTCTTCTTTTCTTCATTTCCAAGTCGCTACCAGTGTATCCAGTGAGGACAGCAGACAGCCGTCGCAGCGTCACCTTGGTGACACTGCTGCTTCCATGCTGGTGGTCTCTTCCTTTGACACTACGCACTTTGATAATACGTGTTAACGCCGTGTGAGCACGCTGACCAGTGCCAAAGGCCCGATCATGTGTAGAGCCGCACCTCGCCCGCTGTGCTTTGGTTTGTTTTCATGGTGCTTCACGCACAGACCGTCCTCTCCTCGCGACCCTCGCTCCCCACGCACTCCATCCGCTCAGTTGTTGAAGATTGGTGGCTTGTCTCATGGTTTTTGTATTTTGTGTCTAATGCACGTTTAACATGATAGACGCAATGCATTGTGTAGCTACGGTTTTCTGGAAAAGTCCAATCTTTTAGGAGTTGTTTTTCAGACCTTCAATAAAATTTTTTCTTTAAATTTCAAAGAGCCGTGTGCGTGTATGGGTGTGTCCAAACCATCGTCCACTCGAAGGGGGAGTTGACTAGCTTTTCTTCTTAGCTCTAAGCCCCAGCCACTTGGGTCATCTGCTAACAAGTTTGAAGTTCACACTATGGCCATGTTCCCTGTGCACCCTTATCCAGCGTCAGCTTGCTTTGTGCCTGCAATTGATACAGCTACTGGAGCAGTGTTCCCCTTGGAGTGAGCTCACTAGCAATTCAAGTGAGGGTGTGGGGTGACTGATATGCTTGCAACAGTGCATGGGAAGGGGGAAGGGGCTTTGGGTGTCCTGGTCACAATTGTTCTCCAGCCACTTGCCCCGTACGTATTTTGGGGAGAGTTTCCCTTTGGTATTTGGTCAGATGAACCTCTGCTCTTCCCTGCCCACCCCCTCTCCTCCAGCTTTTTTTTTTTTGGTCCCGTCCTGGGGCCTGAACTCGGCCTGGGCGCTGTCCCACAGCTCTTCAGCTCAAGGCTAGCGCTCTACCACTCTAGCGCTCTGAGCCACCTTCCCAGCCTCCCAGCTTTTTAAAAAAGCAGCTTTTGGCCAGATTTCTGCCATCTTCACACAAATGTGTTTGATATTCACCCTGTCACCCTTCACTCTTAAGAGCAGGTGTTCAGGGCTGGGAAGGTGGCTCAGTGGTAGAGCGCTTGCCTTGTATGCCTGAGGCCCTGGGTTCGATTCCTCAGGACCACATAAGCAAAAAGAAAAAAGCCGGAAGTGGTGCTGTAGCTCAAGTGGTAGAGCGCTAGCCTTGAGTTGAAGAGCTGAGGGACAGCGCCCAGGCCCAGAGTTCAGGCCCCACGACCGTACCCCCCACGCCCCCCCCCCCAAAAAAAAAAAGCACGTGTTCACCACTGACTGACACATTTCTTTTGGTCACGTGACCGACAGCTTTTCCATGTGCTTGTCTAGCTGTGGTTTTTCCATAGGTGCTTGTTTTCGTCGGCACAAGCATTGGTAGCTAATGGTGATGGCGTTTGTGCGGGAGCAGGGGTGGAGCGTCTGGAGGGAGGCCCCGCTTGGATTGGCTTGGCGCATGGAACATGGGAAGGCCTCAGTGTTGAACCGCCTGCAGAGGGTTTTTGTTTTTTTTTTTTAGTTTTTACTTGGGTCAATATTGACTTCATGTGTCTTAATTTGTACAGATGGCCTCCCCTTAAGTTGATAGAACAATTTTCTTGCCAGTCCTGGGGCTTGGACTCGGCCTGGGCACTGTCCCTAAGCCTCTCTGCTCAAGACTACCACTTGAGACACTGATCCTCACATCTCAGCCTCCTGAGTGAGATTACAGATGTGAGCCACCACCGTGTGGCTTTAGAACACTTCAAAACAATTTGCCTTAGCATCTAGGACTGGAGGCGGTGGAGCGGTGAGTTCCAGGCCCCTGTGGGCCGCATAGGAAGATGGCTGATTATGGCCTCCAAAGAGCTTTTATTATGTGCCTTATTTGTTGGTGTTTACTATGGTAGAATGTGTCACTGGGGAAATAACCACACATCTTGCCACCTGTATAAAACCCCATGAGCACTTCAGCTGGGTGGCTCACATCTGCCATCCTAGCTTCTCAGGAGGCTGAGATTGTGGTTCAAAGCCAAGCCCAGGCAGAAAAGTTGTCCACGAGTCTGTCTCCAGTGAATCACCAAAAAGCCAGAAGTGGAGAAAGGGCTTAAAGCAGTAGAGTGTAAGTCCTGAACAAAACAGTTCAGGGTCAGCACCCGGGCCCTGAGTTCAGACCCCAGTCAATACACACACGACCAGGCAGTGTGGAGAGTGGAGGATGAAGGGCCGAGGCAGGGGCTTCCCCAAGGCTTGGAGCCTCAGCCTGGGAGGGAAAGCAGGAGGGATGGTATAGAGAGGACAGAAGTTTCCAGCATGTTCCAGAAGGGCGGGGTGAGGAGGCTGTGGAGCCACCAGGAAAGGGTCTGACAGACCCAGGAAAGGGTCTGACAAGGCCACAAGCACCCAGCACAGGCCTGGCCACGGCAGGGCTCATGAATGTTTATTGATCAAAAGCCACAGAGCAGCGATCCCAGTCGGCGGGATGATGGAGAAGGCACTGAAGGCTCGTGGCTCTTGGGTCTGAAGATGGGGCAGCTCACCGCTGGTTCTCTTTTTTTCCTCTGTCCTTGGGCTTCTAGGCCCACGGGCTTGAGGGTAGAGGGCACAAGGGCCTGGTGGGTCGCCCCACTTCCTCCACCGCAGAGCGCGGGCCACCAGTCCCTCTCCTTGTCTGACCATCGTTCGCCTCTGCGGCCCTGGCTCACACCTGAGGGATGGGGTAGGAGGCGCAGGCCGCCAGGCCACACATGTTCTTCCCTCGCTCGATGAGGAAGTACCTGGGGGAAGAGGGGCGGCTAAGGCCTCTGGGGTGTTCCCCACCACAGGCCTTTCTGGAATGTTCTGCTACTCACTACGACCTGACTTGGACCCAGTGAATTTCCTCATCTGGCGGACCTGACTGGAAATCCTTTTCTCTCTTAAGCCACCAAATGAACTTGCTTTCTACCTACTCCCTCAGGATCAGCTGGGACTCCCAGCCTGGGGCTTGAACTTGGGGCTTCACGAAGCCTCTAGCCACAGCTCCACTTCTTTTTTTGCTGGTTAACTGGAGATAAAAGTCTCTCAGGTTTGTCTGGCCGGGCTGGCTCTGAGCCATGATCCTCAGATCTCTGCCTCCTGAGTGGCTGGGATTACAGGCGTGAGCCTAGGACTTCACCCCTCCCCCAACACCTAAGGGGACTGGGAAGCTGCTCACCCTTTGTCCCCCCAATAGGGACCCCAGGAGTTTTTCACAATCCAGTAGGGGATCCCATTTTCTTCTCCATAGCCGACCGCCAGCACTGCATGGTTGACTTTATCTGGAGTTTTATGACAGGTAGTACTAGGAACAAAGTAAAAATGGGTTGTTAGTGAGGAAAGACCATGCCACGATCCCCGCAGTGCTGAGTGTGTGTGTGTGCACGCACGCGTGTGTGTGCACCAGCGCTGGGCTTGAACTCTGGGCCTGGGCGCTGTCCCTCAGCTCTTCAGCTCAAGGCAAGTGCTCTACCACTTGAGCCACAGCGCCACTTCTGGTTTTCTGGTGGTTTATTGGAGATAAGAGTCTCATGGACTTTCCTGCCTGGTCTGGCTTTGAACCACACTTCTTAGATCTCAGCCTCCCGAATAGCTGGGATTACAGGCACCAGCACCATCACCCAACACAAATGTTTGCCATGTTTTCTGAGCCAGTGGAGGCCCTGGGTGGAGGGTGGAGGAGGCTGTAGCTCTGGGCTGGGGTATGGCCCTGGCTCTGCCCTGTTCCCTGGTGAGGCTTGGATATCCTTCCTGACCTGACCCAGCCATGGGCCCCACCCCAGGGTGGCCCAGAACCAGAGGGGACCCTGGGGGCCATGCAGCACCCGGCTGGTGTAGGAGCATCTGCTGGCTCCTGGAACCCCACTCACCTGGAGTAAACCCCACTTTTATACATCATGAAGTCTTCTGTCACCTCGAAGGCGAAGCTCACAGGGTTGTAGAGAGCCACGGCCTCCACCATGGCTGCCTCGTCGTTCTGTGGGCGGACATGACAGACCGCATCATGGGCTGGGGTCCACTGTCAGACAGCATCATGGGCTGGGGTCCACTGTCAGACCGCATCATGGGCTGGGGTCCACTGTCAGACCGCATCATGGGCTGGTGTGTGTGTGTGTGTGTAAATCCCGCTTCGCTAGCGGAAACTGGGCCCTGAGCTAAGCCCTGCACATGCCCGCTCCTCCTGGAGGAGGGCCTTTGGGCGTTTTTGCCTCGACTTAGCCTTGTCCCTACAGACTGGTGCTCTACCACCTGAGCCACAGTTCCACTTCCAGCTTTTGGTGATTAACTGGAGATAAGAATCTCATGGACTTTTTGGTGGGGCTGGCCTTGAATCGTGATCCTCAGATCTCAGCCTCCTGAGTAGCTGGGATGACAGGCGGGAGCCGCCAGTGCCTGACTCAAGAGTTTTTTTTAGTTGGCTTCCAACTCTTCCTTCCTGAGTTCGTCCTCTCCCCTCTCATCCTGTGTAGATCCCCCCTCCCTCCCACGTCCCACCACAGGGCACAGCATGGCCTCGCTCTCACAACTGCCCCTAGGCTCAGGGCCCTGAAGGGAGGGCTTCACTACCCGTCTCTACCCCAGGACCTGTGCACACACTCAGTCAGTCTAGGAAACAGCTGGCAAAGCCCAGGGATTTTTCAGTGCAATAACGGTTAAGACTCAGAAGGTGGAGAACAAGGGCGGAGTCTCCTGAGTAGGCCCTGCCCCTTGGGCAGGGGGAGCAAAGGTAGGGGAAGGGGTGGGTAGGTGAGAGCTGAGGCAGGCCTGCTGGACAAAAAGTTAGTGAAACCTCATAGCAACAGTGTGAGCTGGGTTCTGGTGGTGAAGCCTGTAATCCCGGCTACTTAGGCTGAGATCTGAGGATTGCTACTTGAGGCCTGGGAGGTAAAGCCCATGAGACGCATACTTCCAGTGAGCCAACAAAAAGCTCAAAGTAGAGCTGTTGCTCAAGTGGCACAGTGCCCAAGCCCTGAGTTCAAGCCTCAGGACCGTCACAAAAACCTGGGAGGGGCCTCAGGTTGTAGAGTGCCTGTCAAGCAGGCTGAAGGCCCTCAGTTAAAAGTCCCCGCGGGTGGTCTGCACCCCACACAGCTCCAACCCAGTGCCAGAAGTTGGGAGGGTCTGGATCAGCTCACGTTAACATCCCAGGTGAGGGCACAGGTTCTGTGAGCAGACGCCAGGGCTCTGAGAACAGGAGGAGGAGAGGAGGGCGGAGAGAAGCCCTCCCGCCCGCCCTCCCGGCTCTTGAGGTGGACAGAGAAATCAGGTGGCTCCTTCTAGACGCTTGCAGACATGTGGAGTCCAGGGGGCTCAGTGCAGAAATGGCAGGTGTCACACAGGCCTGACCAGCCCCTTTCCACAAATGTCCCTCGACCTGAACACCGCAGCCGCACTACAGCTGC